TCCTCAAACATTTTTCTTTGTGCAGGTGAAAGCTTCGACGCAATTGTTTTGGCCAGGCTGACTTTATTTCTTAAGGTCAATTGAGTCTAATAAAAGTTCTACAAAAACAATAAACATACTAAGTTAGATATACCAAAAACTACACTGTGAAGATATACCAAAAACAATAATAAACATAAAGAGTAGTAGTTTATTCTTCAAACTTAAATTTGCAACACTGTGAATTTCGTATTTGTCTTTGTTTTTTGGTTGAAGTAATGCAATTCATTCAAGTTTCAATTTGCAGAAGAAGAATAGTTTCTGAAAATGAAAATCGCAACACGAAAATGACTATCGCAACGCGAATTTGACTATCGCAACGAGAGAATCGCAACGCGAAACTAAAATCGCGTTGCGATTTGCATTTCGTGTTGCGATTCTCGGTTGATTTAATAAGAAATATAAGTGAAATGGTTAATCTATTATTGAAATTACCAGTAAACGTATCATCAATTTCAATATGAAAAACCTAATAATAATGCAAAAATTTCAAAAAGAAAATAATTAAAAAAACTAACCCTCGTTGGTTGATTTGGTTGATTTTCCATTTCTGATTGTGAGGGTGGCTCTGAGAGATGGAGATAGACGGATTTCGCCGGAGATGGAGAGATGGAGATGGGACTGAGTTGTGATTTTAGGTTTTAGGTTATGAGTTGCGATTACGGGATATACTGTGGACGGTTCAGTGTTCCAATATATTAATATTCGTTTTTGGAATTTAAAAATAAAATACTTGGCCAGGATACTAATGGCGCTTTGAAAATCGCATTGCGATTATGTATTATCGCGTTGCGAAAGTCAGAATCGCGTTGCGAAAGTCAGTATCTCGTTGCGATTTTGTATTATCGCATTGCGAAAGTAAGTATCGCATTGCGATTTTCCCAATTAGCGTTGCGATTTACTTATTCACATTGCGAATTGAGAAAATCGCAACGACACTGTAGACCATCGCAACACGATTTTCAACTATCGCAACGCGAAATGCAACGCGAATTTGCGATAATGGAGATCGCGTTGCGAATTAGCGATCGCATTGCGATTTTGTTGGTCATTTTGGCAAATCCGAAAAAAGTTGGTTAAAATCGTATATTATATGAGAATTTTGGTCACTGAGGCGATTTTCTCTAAACCAAAAGCAAATGAACTCAAGGGCCACCTCTGAGAGTGAGACATTGTATTGTGGTACATCTGTTATAATGTGCTGCATGCCCTTACAGACTTACACCGACTCTTTTTTTACCCCCTTGAACATTGATAAGGGAATATAACCCTCCAAAGACATGAAAAGACTAAAAATAAAGAAACGAACATACTTGCATGGACCAATACTTCTGCTAAGCATAAAATCATTTAGTGGATAGATATTTTAATATATGTTCAGCACCATGTCACCATATGGCATGTGAGAAGGGGATGTATAGAGATTGCAACAACATAATATACAATGCAAATTAAATATAACAGTAGGCAGAAAAAAATACAACTGCATGAATTACAGTATGCACATTCACAAACATAAGCAATTTCATTCATAAACATGATTACAGCAACTTTGAAACAACTAAATTAACCTTGTTCTAAACCGAGGACAACAATCATCATGATGCAAAAAACTCGTAATGCAAAGAATATATATAGATGGAGCACTTACGATTGATACTAAGTTAAAACTATAGGCATCAACTCTCTTGCTTGTCAACTAATAATCCAGAAATGTCCCTAATACCAGAAGAGTTCCAGTCTGGGCATGAGTCAGCAGGTTGTAGATATTACACCAAGGTAAGCTTGATCTTGTCTGTGAAAAAAGATAACAAAGGTTATTAAAATAATAATAATGAAGAAGAAGAAGAACAAGTTGCCTAAAAGTTTGGAGACTACTTATATATTTTACCCTAAAAAATATGTCAGGTGACATTTTTAATGGGTTAATTGTCAAACTTAACGACCCGTCACGGCTAGATCCATTTTGAGTCATGGAATGAAACGTTAAGCACCAAACTGAAATGAAATAAACGTTAGGCACTAAACTAAAAAAACTGACATAGATTGGGCACCATTTATATATTTATGCATTAAAAATATTAAGAAAATGTTAAAATGAATTTTTATAACAGTTGTAAAAGTTTAATGATCATTGTGTAATATTTGAAAGTTAAGTGGATAAACAACCACTGGGTATAGCTTAGGCACTTGTAGTGAACTCTACCCATTTTGTTTGAGTTGCCCTGAGAAAGTTTTTGCCTCGCAAAAATATCATTTCCTTAACCCTTATCCATTCCCCCTCTCCCTCTCAAAAACCTCAATCAAACCAAATCATCGCTTCAACCCAACCGGAGCTGAACTAATCTTCCCGATGGCTCTGCTTCCACTTCCCCACCAATCTTCTCTTTTTTCTCTGCAAAATAAACCTAAAACCCACTTCCCCAACATCTCTTCCGCTTGCTTTCTTCATCCATTCTCTCCTCTCAGCACCACTCTTCGCTTCAAAGCTACACCATTTACCAGCTTCGTCCTCCATTTCTCTGCCACCACCCAACACCCTGCTTTACAAGTGAAAGAAGAAGAAGAAGAGTTTTCAAAAACTAGATTGATTGCCCAGAACGTGCCTTGGAGTTGTACCGTCGAAGACATTCGTTCTTTGTTCGAGAAACATGGCACTGTCGTCGATGTTGAGGTTTTTTCTTTCTCTTGGGTTTACCTTTTTTTTTATTCGTGGTTCGTGTATTGATGTGAATATGTTTTTTTTTTTCAGCTTTCTATGCATAACAAGACCAGAAATAGGGGATTGGCATTTGTTTCCATGGCTTCGCCTGAGGAGGCTCTTGTGGCTCTCAATAATCTTGAGTCATATGTAAGCATATTTATTGCCTTTGATTATTCTCTCATATGACTTGGGAATTCTGAGATGAAGTAAAGATTTTATGTTAGAGTGGAACTTCTAAAATTTTACGAGTAATGAATTTATAGAAGTTTTTCGCCAAAACTGATTATGATAATTTGAAATTTTTAAGAGCGGCTGCACGCTGCACAACCATCTTTCTCAGTTCATCTCTGCATGAATTAGATGGTCCAATATAAATAAGCTGAATTATTTTATTCAATCATCTGAACCTGCTGATTTTCAATACATATAGTAGAGATATTTGATATTTCCTTAAGATGCTAGTTTAATAAGTTTTCTTAAGGCACTCGTTAGCAAATCCTTGATGAATTCAGTGTGTATGAGGCAATTTATCCTAAGTAATGGTTGAGAGTATACTTTGACACAAAGAGGAACGCACTATTTTATGCCCAGAGGTGCGAAGTTAGGAAGATATTAGAAATTTAGAGGGTGTGAAACTATAAAATTTCAGGGGTGTGAAATAGATCATCAATAGAGAATACAAAAAAAAAATCTTAAATTATGTGAGAATTTGAAATTTCCAGGTGTGAAACCGCACCTCCAGCACCCTCTCCGTCCATCTCTGTTTTGACATCATTTAACAAGAAAAACAATTGATTTGTTTCCTTAAAACTGATATAGGAATTCGAGGGTCGTACTTTAAGGCTCAATTATGCTAAACCTAAGCAGAAGAAAGCTCTTCCACCTGAGAAACCGAAGCAGGTGCCGGCATTCAACTTGTTCGTGGCGAATCTTTCGTACGAAGTGAGGGCTAAACATCTTAAAGAGTTATTCAGTTCTGAGGGCGCTAATGTTGTTTCTGCTGAAGTTATATTTCATGATAATCCGAGAAAGTCATCTGGCTATGGCTTTGTATCTTTCAAATCCAAGAAAGAAGCTGATGCTGCACTGTCTGCTTTCCAAGGGAAGGTACTTCCTTATTTAGTAAATTTCTCGATTGTTTGTTTCTTTGTTTTTTTAGTCAAGAAACTGATAATTTTTTATTGCAGATGTTTATGGGAAGACCGATTCGAGTGCAACGTAGTCGACAATTCGTGAAAGTTCAATCAGACGACGGTTCACAATCCGACGATAAATCGGCCGAGTCGAACCCTAATTCGGAACAAGAAGCTGTGGATTGAAGTTGAATTTGATTATACTCGGATCAAAGAGAGGTTGTTGTTTGTTACTCCGTGGGGAAGCAACATATGTACGTGAATGTTTCAGCCATTTGAGCTCTGTTATGTCATTTTTTGGTGGCACCTGGAGTAAATTGACTGTTCTTCGGCTCAACTCTAATCCTTTCCATTCTCATATTAACAACTGCTATATTTTTTTCTCGAAATATCCATGTAAGGAAACTGTGGATTTTGTTTCAGCCATTTGAGCTCTGTTATGTCATTTTTTGGTGGCACCTGAAGTATATAGCGTTCACTTAATCCGATAAAATCGAGTTCAAGATTCATGCCAAGGGTTCCAATCGTGTAAGGAAACTGTGGATTTTGTTTAATGTACCATTGAGGATGGCAAGCTTCCATTGGAGTTGAGTAGTTACCCTCGAGTGCTCCATTATCCTAGTGGCCATACTATGGATTTCAAGTGTTGGAAAATGACAACAAAACATCCACTGCGGTTTCTTAGACACTATTGGACGTGCCCATGCCACGAAACACTCATTACTCGTAGCGATAAAGTTGAGAGTAAAGTTTACACTTACAATTATAATTTAAATAATATTCTATATATGTATATATATATATATATATTCTTTTTCGATATATTTTTACTAAATTTTGAATATTAATTAATGTTATTATTTTTTATATAAGTGAAACATGCTGTCCCATAACAGCTGTTACCACGTGATACTTGTAGTCTCCCCGCCCAGGCCCAACCTGCCCCGACTCAGCAAAAGACGAGTAAACCCCCAGAAAGCGCACAACATTAAAACAGCTGGCATCATAAAAGACAAGAAAGTACCCCTGCTCTCCCCACTTTCCACGTTTCCACACTCTCACAACTTTCATCACTCGCTTTCGTCCTTTTTTTGTTCCTCCGATTAATCAGTTCAAAATCCAACTTTAATTAATACATAAGAGCATATTATTAATTATAATAACCAACAACGATAAACTACAACCAAATCTCAACGGTAAATATAGCTCCAGCCTATCAATATATAAAATCAACCCCGTCAAAATAAAAAGAAATACGCTACTAAAACTCAATATGAGAATCTAAAAATGACCCTAAAGTAAAAAAATCGATCAAATTCAAATCCTACAATCCGAAAATATCAGATCTAAGCGAACAAAGCGACTGCTGCAAAAACAGCTGCAACGCCGGATCCAGCGACGGCGGCTATATTCAAAGCGGCGGCGTTCGGAGAAGATGTTGGAGATGCTCCAGGTGACCCGCTGATGGAGGATGGAGTGATAGCGCCAGTGGGAGAAGCACCGACGGTCGGAGAACCAGCCGGAGACATAGGAGGGGCCGGGGGAGAGGAAGTTGGAGAAGATTCTGGGGCTGGAGTGGTGGCTATTGACGGCGGCGAAGCGGTTGGAGTAGCGGTGGGAGACGTGGTTGGGGAAACCTTGGGAGCTGGAGTCGGAGAAGAAGACCGCGGTGACTTGGTCGGGGCGGAACTTGGAGCCTGGCCGAGAGCGCAGCTTACGATGAGAGCTGAGAGAACAAAGCAAGCTAAGGTTTTCGTCATTATAGAATTTTAGAAGATCAAAGAAAAGAAAGGAAACACAAAGAACATGAGAAATTGAGGAAGCGGCAGTAGGGTAAAGGGAGATGAGAGAGGAAAGGAGGTATATATAGAAGGTTTAGGCCTTGGGCTGGGTTTTGATATATTTTTCAAAAATAAATAAATAAATAAAAGGGTAAATTACACGTTTAGTTCCCTAATTATTACTTTTATTCTGATTTAATCATCCAACTAGTTTTTAAATCATAGTTAACATTTAGTTTTAGATTTATTTTGATAACTCGTTATTGAAAAATAAAAATGATACTGATATGTTATAATAAGATGGTTTCACGTTATTATTGAAAACAATAAAAAAAAGTCAATAGTTGTGTTATTTTTTTAATTATGGATGATTAAATGAAATTAAAACCTAATATTAAGTATGATTTTGAGAGATTGGGTGATTAAAATAAAATAAAAGTGATAATTAGATACTAAATTTGTAGTTACCCAAATATAAAAACAATACCTTCTAATGCTTTGGAGTTTTGGGGTTTTTTAATTATGCCCGTGCATTTATCTTTTATTTCAATTTAGTCCATACTCAGAGCTCATTAGAATACTTTTTCTTTATTTTTATAGTGCATATCCATTATTTTTCTTTTCCAGACATTGAAACAAAGTAATTGAGTTTTGACTAGACTTGCTTTTTAAAATAAAAAAAAACTGTTTCTAATTAATGAGTTCAAATAAAAAAAATTTAATTTTAGATAATTTATCAAATACTAATTAAAAACAGAGTAGATATCCATTAGAATAAAAATTTTATGAGAATAAAAATTAATATACAATAAATCCTTTATAAATTAATATTTAATAAAATAATAATCTCTTTAAAATTATATTTTTATCCAAATTTGGATTTAAAATTTAAATTAATAAGATAATAGGTTTAATAAATTAATAAGATAATAATTTTTGAAAGACAGATATATAAATTTATGGTCCCTCTAATATTATAAATTAATAATTCTATAAAATTATAATATAATTAGGACAACTTAATAAAATATGATTCTATTATTGTTTCTTTCTTCTTAAAATTAAAATCTAATTATATTTCATTTCTAACTTCTTTTACTGCATCAAAAAGTTATGGTATTGCGTTCACATATTACATCAAAAAAATTGTGAAGAATTATTTCCGCTATGATTACTTCCTTTTGCAGAATTGTAAAGATATTGTATAATCTTTAGTTTTATCCTCCGTAGAGCTTTCAGTAACACTAGTTACATTTATTCCAAGCTGTGAATTATTTTTATGTATTTTATTAGTAAATTATATCTACTTCAAAACTGTGAATTTTGTCAGAAAAGAAGTACATCAAAAATTATTAATACATTCAAGAACTAAATATAAGGATCATATTAATAGAATTTAAGCGTAACATATTATATTTAATTCTTTATTTATATTTATTATTTCTGTCTATTTTAATAAATAAAAAAGGAAATTCACATGGATCAAAGCAATTCCGATATATTTATGAACAAAAATTCTGCTTACCGTTATGATTTGCACGTTGTTGGTCCAATTTATTATTTATGGGAATTATCGTTTCAACTCTAAGGAAAAGAATCATGGTTTAATGAAAATAATGGAGAATTAGTTTAATTATTTTATTAATATTATTTAATTCAATTTATCAACTTTTTATTATTATATGAATTTTGTGTTCGTGTTGATGCTTTTTATTATTATTTATAATGGTATTTTTTACCTATCATTATTTTGATTTATTTCATTAAGTTTTTCACAATTTATTTGCATGATTTTATTTTATTATTTAGTGATCAGTTTTATACTTCAATATTTTAATTATATAATTTTTATATATTTTCTTTTTTTAATAAAGCTGATAAATTTATTATTTAATAAAAAGAAACTAAAAAGAGCTTTGGATTCTTCTTTTATTCTAATAAAATAAAAATTTTATTATAATATTTTAAGAATCATTGTTGTTTCTAAAGGTCACACGTTCAAACACCAACGGTTGCAATAGCGTGATTAAGTGTTCATTAGCAAATGTTTGAAAATATTTAGAACACACTATTTTATAATCACTTTAGCTTAATAAAAAAAGTATGCATATGTAAACGTATAAATCGAACAACTTCAATGATTAAAACATAATTTGGTTCTTATTTTTTATTAAGCCTTAAATAAACTTACATTTTTTATAATGTATGATTCTAAAATAATTTTTTTACTAATATCAAAAATATCGGAATAGGAGTAATCTCAATACTATTACTTCTTTAGATAATTTTAGATTATGAGCATAATGTTTAATTTAAGACAATTTTATCATTCCCTTTTTATTAAATTCACCCTTAAAATTAAGAACTGTTGGAAACGTTGGTGGGCACTCGGTAAGCTTAACAATTAATATGATATTATTAATATAAATCGAAATACGATACAACTCGAACACGACACTAGCTACAACTAGTTTAAAAACAGCACAAGCTTTTCTAAGCTTCATACTATCTCTTATTTTTTTTCTTCATGTCGCCCTAAATTCCTTGTTAATTAAGTATTTTGTATGTTGCCTCCATTTATGCTTTGTTGTAATTGAATACAATTTGCCACATGTTGGATAACTCTCTTAATCATTAGTTGTTGCCATGAATGTCTTTACCATACCATGTAATTTCCAAATGTTGCCAACCCATCATTTGTAAGTTAAGCCGCTGCCACTTGTTGTTACAAGCTTTTATTTGCCATGTGATTAATTTGTTGTTGCCACATAGAATTGTTTTGTTGTCCATTATCCAAGATTTTCCACATGCATGTTTACAAACATTCAAGAAATCAAGTTTAATTTCTAACACTCCCCCTCAAAATTTGATTTTCCATTTCGAGCTTTTCTTTGAGTCTATTGAAAGTGTCTATTTTCAATGGCTTTGTAAAAATACTTGTTAATTGTTCTTCTGTTCAGCAGTAGACAAATTCCATATTTTTGTTCTTTATTTACTCTCGTATAAAATGATATTTTGTACCGATATGCTTGCTTCAGTTATGGGAGATAAAATTCTTGGCAAGAGAAATTATTGACTTGTTATTGGCATAAATTGTAGTCGGTTCTTTTTGTGCCTAGTTTAACTCGTTCAAAATATTCTTCAACCACATTGCTTGGCAAATGCATGCTGCAACGACTATATATTATGCTTCACATGTTGAAAGAGAAACAGTTTGTTGCTTTTTTATGACCTTGAAAATATTGCAGAGCCGATATAGAATAGATATCTAGATGTGCTCTTGATATAGAATAGATATCCAGATGTGCTCTTTTGATCATCCAAATCTCCCCCATTATCACTATTAGAATAACTAACCAACTTCGAATTTTTTAAATGTGTGTAAAACAAACCATGACCCATCATATCTTTAACATAACTTAAAATTCTCTTCGCTGTAATCCAATGATCTTGTTTTGGCTTCTCCATGAATCTGCTTACCAATCCTAAGACATATGTAATGTTTGATCGTGTGATAGTAAAATATCTTAGACTTCCAACAAGACTTTTAAACAAGGTTGGATTCACCAACTCCCTTATTGAATGTACACCTAATTTTATTCCTGGTTATGCTGGAGTGGTTACCGACTTGCAATCCTCCATTCTAAATTTGCCTAAAATTTGCTCGGTGTACTTCTTTTATGAAATAAATGTTCCATCTTGCATTTGCTTCACTTTGACTCCAAGAAAGTATGATATTTCACCAATATCTGTCATTTAAAATTCTTTAGTCATATCTTTCTTGAAATCATTGAACATACATGGATTGTTTCCTATGAAAATCTTGTCGTTCACATATAAGCATATGATCATGATATCACTATCTTTATTTTTCTTCGTATATAAGTGTCCTCTTTTGTGGGTACTATAAAATGAGTGCGGATATATGTGCAAGTATACACAATCGAACAAGTAATACAGTGATAAGTGAGTGTCGTCACCACAGGGAATTGAGGAAATCAAATAGGTTTGTCAAGGCACTTTACTTTGTCACCTAAGTAAAGTTAGTGATGGTATATACAAATGATAATGTTGTGGCAAAATGGAATGACTGATGTGGAAATGGAATGATGGTGGTATGGTAGTAATCGAATTTGTCATGGCAAATGAAATTGTAATGCGTGGGAACAAATATAAATGCCAAGGCAAAACAAAATGTAAATCATGTATTTAATATATATATATAGGACTTTGGCTTCCTCACAAGACAAACAGCAATGGAAATGAGTGATAGGAGTCACAATGAAAACCTAAGTCTATTTCTCTGAATGGTATTTCTTCTATGCTTACCCTGCCCGACATAGTCTACTGAGGTGCCCTATACTATCTCTAGTAAGAGACTCGACAGGTTAAAGATGCCCTGGCAAAACCGATTGGCGTAAACCCCTGCAGTGATCCTATTGGTCCAGATAGCATGATATGTCTCGGCAATACCTTTTTGCGGCAATATTAACATCTAACCTATCGTTCAAGAACACCTCCTTTTAGTCGAATGAAATCCTATCCTTATCTCTAAGGTGGATTAGTCCTAGTTACTATCTAGAACCCCTTGTTTATGCAGTTCCTCCCTAGTTTCTCTCAAACACTAAGGATAATTTGCCAAGACATTCTCTCGAATCCTCAAGACCTCCTAAGGAAAGGCTACTCTCGTAGCTCCTACAACCTTAAGGCATTAAGTTTCATAAACAAAACATATTAAAGCATAGCAAAGCAACCATTCATTAAAATAAAACTTAAATATCCAAGTGAACTCCCACTAAATAGGATTAGTTCATGGTGGGGATCGAAATAAACAAGCACAAAGCAAGTATCATTTGTTCCTTACAACCCAATAACAAAATATGAAAGCAAAGAACTAAGGGAGAAGAGAAAGCCTTCGATGTGCACTACCCAATGCTTTCCTCGGCCACCACGTGCTGCTCCTAGTGAACTGGCTCCTCTCGGATGCTCAGGACGCCACTCCCTCCGGCTTGTCGAGGAGAAATGCCACGACAAGTAGGATTGACGGAGAAAGATGAGATATTCTCT